ACTGCAAGCTCCACCTCCCGGGTTCCCACCATTCTCCTGTCTCAGCCTCCCAAGTAGCTGGGACTACAGGAACCTGCCACCATGCCTGGCTAATTTTTTTGTATTTTTAGTAGAGACGGGGTTTCACCGTGTTAGCCAGGATGGTCTCGATCTCCTGACCTGGTGATCCACCCGCCTCAGCCTCCCAAAATGCTGGGATTACAGGTGTGAGCCACTGCGCCCGGCCAGAATTGACATCTTAATATTGAGCCTTGCCATCTGTGAACATGGTGTATCTATTAGTTTATTTCAGTCTTATTTGATTTCTTTTGCAGTATTCAGCATTTGGATCCTGCAAATATTTCGTTAGATTTTTACCTAAGTATTTCTCTTTTTTTGTTGCTCTTGTAAATGATGCCAATTTAATTTTTTTTTTATGTATTTATTTTTTTGAGATGGAGTCTTGCTGTGTCTGCCAGGCTGGAGTGCAGTGGTACAATCTCAGCTCACTGCAACCTCCGCCTCCCAGGTTCAAGAGATTCTCCTGCCTCAGCCTCCCAAGTAGCTGGGATTACAGGTGCGTGCCACCACGCCTGGCTAGTTTTTGTATTTTTTTTAGTAGAGATGGGGTTTTGCCATGTTGACCAGGCTGGTCTTGAACTCCATACCTCAGGTGATCCACCTGCCTCGGCCTCCCAAAGTGCTGGGATTACAGGCATGAACCACCACGCCAGGCCCCAGTTTTAAATATACGATTTCCAGTTGTTCATTATTAGTTTGTAGAAGTACCACTGGTTTTTGCATGGCCTCTTTCTGCTTCTGTCCCTCTCAGTTAGAACAGTCTCTGCCTGTGCTGGGGCTCGCCCTCTCCTGCTGTTGTTTAGCACAGAATGACCAAATACTCATTCAGAGCATTCCTGGTCAAGCTGCCCTCTAAGAGTCATGAGACCTACAGCAAACCTTAGTACGAATTGTACTAACTTGGAGGAAAAGTCAGGCTGAATTATTGGTGTCTTTGGTAGAATTTTAAAAATAAAGCAAAACATGTTTTTCTTGTTCCTGTAAGCAGTGCGAATAAACCATAAACCAAGTGTACTGAGATGTTCTTGCCTGAACTTGATCCTCCAAATATGTTTCTAAACCAGAAAAGAGGGTTTCTTACGAGGGATTCTTTTTTTTTTTTTTTTTTTGAGACAGAGTGTTACTGTCACCAGGCTGGAGTGCAGTGGCATGATCTTGCCTCACAGCAACCTCTGCCTGCCACATTCAGGCGATTCTCCTGCCTCAGCCTCCCGAGTAGCTAGGACTACAGACACAAGCCAGCACGCCCAGCTAATTTTTTTATTTTTAGTAGAGATGGGGTTTCACCATGTTGGCCAGGGTGATCTCGATCTCTTGACCTTGTGATCCACCTGCCTCCGCTTCCCAAAGTGCTGGGATTACAGGCGTAAGCCACCATGCCCAGCTAACTTTGGTATTTTTAGTAGAGACAGGGTTTCACTATGTTGACCAGGATGGTCTTGATCTCTTGACCTCAGGTGATCTGCCCACCTCGGCCTCCCAAAGTGCTGGGACTACAGATGTGCGCCACCACGCCCATCTAATTTTTGTATTTTTATTAGAGGATGGGGTTTCACCATGTTGGCCAGGATGGTCTCGATCTCTTGACCTCGTGATCCACCCACCTTGGCCTCCCAAAGTGCTGGGATTCCAGGCGTGAGCCACTGCGCCCGGCCCTTAAGAGGGATTCTTTGGCTTTCAGTGGATGGCATTAGTGTCTGTTTTCTCGCTCCTCTGGGTCTTCCCTCCTTGCCTTTGTATCATTCATCACGTATTTAGTGAGCTATTATTGCCTCCCAGGTTCCATTCCAGGAATGGGAGGCCCAGTGGACAGACAAGGGCCTGTCCTTCCAGAGCCTGATTTTCTCAGTAATCACCTAGCACACAATCATCTGCCCGTGTCCAGAGGATCATACACTGTGGATCACCTTGGAATTGGAGCTCATAAAGTTTTACCCTATAGTGCTTTTCTTGACTATAGCCTATGAAGTTATTGTAAGTTTTTATCTGCTGAATACAGCTGGTCCCTCAGATTTTTTTCTTTTTATGGCAGCTTATAGAATTTCACAAATTGCATATGCTTTCTTTTCTAAAGTATGGTTTCTTTTAAAATAATGGTTTCTTTTCAAATATGTGCAGGGCCGGGCATGGTGGCTCACGCCTATAATCCCAGCACTTTGGGAGGCCGAGGTGGGTGGATCACAAGGTCAAGAGTTCGAGACCATCCTGGCCAACATGGTGAAATCCTGTCTCTACTAAGAATACAAAAATTAGCTGGGCATGGTGGTGCGTGCCTGTAATCCCAGCTACTTGGGAGGCTGAGGCAGGAGAATTGCTTGAACCCGGGAGGCAGAGGTTGCAGTGAGCTGAGACTGCACCACTGCGCTCCAGCCTGAGCGACAGAACAAGACTCTGTCTCGAAAAAAGTAAAATATGTATAGTGTAGTATCAAAGGAAAACAGCAAAACTTTAAATATTTGCTTTGAAAATTAACTGTTTTGTAGCTTAAGAGCACAGTGTGGCAGCTTTCGACTTAACATAATTAATTCGGGTGTTAGTCATGCATCTTTTCCATCTGCCTAAGAAATTACTCAGTATTACTAATGAAGATAGCTCACGGCTTTTGGCTTCTGTCCCTATAAGTTTATTAGAAAATACTAATTTTAGAAAATTACTAATTACTCTTTCACATTTTTATTGTCAATTAAAATATCCTCACGAAATGGAGTAGCTTTCAATGTATAGAGGTAACTGCACAAGGAGGACAGTGACGTCTGCCACTAAAACCGTGGTCTCCCAGCTGCGGCGTCCCACCCGAGGTGCTCACAGCTGAGCCCAACCAACGTCCTTGTTCTCAGCTTGGCCTCTCACTGTTTTGTCCCTTTGCTGCTCCTCTGCACAGCTCTTAGGGAGCTTTCCGGGGCAGCCCTCTGACCGCGGCTCTGTTTCCTGACCACCTGCATGGGATGGCGAAGTGGGGGTGGGGGTGGTTCTGTAGCCAGTCTGATTTGTGCTCTGTTGAGAGGGGGAGGAGAGCAGAATTTTTGAAGGAGTATATGTACCAGTTTTGGTGGAGATGGATGAAGTTCTGGGTCTCTCTAATACTCGATTTAAGAAGGTAAGTGGTGAGAGCGGAAAGTGTGGCAGGAACGTGTGGGCCCTGCGGGCCTCTGGTCTAGCTCACACGCTGTCTGTCCTCTCGGCCTTCAGTGAAGCGCTATGTCCGGAAGGGGGTCCCGCTGGAGCACCGTGCCCGCGTCTGGATGGCGCTGAGTGGGGCCCAGGCTCAGATGGACCAGAATCCCGGCTACTATCACCGGCTTCTCCAGGGAGAGAGAAACCCCAGGCTGGAGGACGCCATCAGGACAGGTGAGGCAGCGGGGATCAGGCTCTGGCACAGGGCCCGGGGGCCAGAAGGAACTGGTTTCCACCCAGTGTCTAGTCTCAGTGTCCAGGAGTGAGTGGTGCGTCTGCTGGTTTTAACTTAAAGTTACGTCTTCCTCCACGAAAGAATAAAAACTGAAGCCTTTGCAAGGGGAGAGCAATGATCGTAATTCACTCAGCAAATATTCACGTGCCTAGCTGGCTAATACGAAAATGGTCACGAAGGAGCAGATATGCTCCATGAAGACCTGCAGGACAGTGAGAGGCAGCCTCTGTTGCCGGCGGGCTTTGCGCCGGGCACTGGTCGCGTGGCCGTCATACGCAGCCGCGTTCATGAGGCCACACACCAGGGCTTCCTTTTTTGTGTCTGTCATAATTGCTGGACTCCCTTCTCCTCCGATTTTCTCAGTAATCACATAGCCATAGGGTCCCTGGCTCTCAGAAGTTCAGAATGCTAACAAAATTGATTAACCTAAGGCCGGGTGCGGTGGCTCATGCCTGTAATCCCAGCACTTTGAGAGGCCGAGGAAGGCAGATCCACCTGAGAATAGGAGTTCGAGACCAGCCTGGCCAACATGGAGAAACCCCCCTCTACTAAAAATTCAAAAACAGCCGGACATGGTGGTGCATGTCTGTAATCCCAGCTACTCGGGAGCTGAGGCAGGAGAATCGCTTGAACCCGGGAGGTGGAGGTTGCGGTGAGCTGGGATCGCACCATTGCACTCCAGCCTGAGCAACAAGGGTGAAACTCCATCTCAAAAAAAAAAAAAAAAGAAAAAAAAAGAAAAATTGGTTAATCTAAATTGAAAAATTAGATTTTTAGAAAGTACATCCGCCCTTCTGATTTTAACAGTTTTTGAGAAATACACACTTAAACACAATATACTTAATTTTAAAAAACCCAGTGGCTTTAAAGTGCTGTGAGGTTAGAAAGACTTGGGAGGGTGAGGACACGGTGCATCCTGCTGCCCTTCCTGGGGGTCTCCTGTCCACAGGGCTGAGCCAATGGGGAGGGGGCTACCCAGGCTGGGGGCTGGGGCTGCCGGGGAGAGGCTGCTTCCTGACCGCAGAGTGTTTGCCGCCAAAGGTCTCCAAGCAGATGCACAGCCTGGCGGCCAGAAACGCTGATTCAGGGTGGGAAGAGGAGAGCTTGGGTGCAGTGGGGAGGGGGTGCATAGTACAACAGAGCACTGCTGTCTGAAAAATGAGTTTAAAGGCTCTGTTTTGTGGTTTTTTGGATGATTTTTTTTTTTTCTTGAGACAGGTGTCACTCTTGCTCAGACTGGAGTGTAGTCGTGCAGTCACGGTGAGTGCTTACTGCAGCCTTGACCTACCAGGCTCAAGTGATCCTCCTGCCTCAGCCTCCCGCGTAGCTGGAAGTGATCAGGACCACAGGTGTGCACCACCACACCTGGCTCATTTTTTTAATTTTTATTTTTTTGCAGAGATGGGTTTTGGTTTTGAACTCCTGGGCTCTGAGGATTCTCCCTTCTTCACCTCCCAAAGTGCTGGAGTTACAGGAGTGAGCCACTCGCCTGGCTGAATCTTTTTTTTAATTATGGTAAAATATGCCTAATATAAAACTTACCATTTCATTTTCCCAAGCTGAAGCTCTGTCCCCATTGTCAAGCACCACCCCCGTGTCCTTGCCCAGCCCCTGAGAGCCCGCAGTGCACTTGCCTCTGTGCTTTGGCAACTCCAGGGTCACGTAAGAGGAGTCCTGTGGGCTGCGACCTGTGCGGCTGGGGTCCTTTCCCTCGCCTCAGTCCTCAGGGATCCTCTGTGCTGCATCTCGTGTGAGAATTTCCTCCTTCTTTAAGAGTGAATAATATTCCACGCATGGGCAGACAACATTTTGTTCATTTATCCACCTGTCAGTGGACCCCTGGGCTCTCCTGCCGCATGGCTGTTGTGGGTGGCACGGCCGTGAGCGTGGGTATGTGGATTCTGCTGGGTCCCTGCTGTCAGCTGTGGGCTCCTACCCAGAGTGTGGGGCTGCTGGATCCATGGCAGTTCTGTGCTTAGTAATTGGAGGCACCTGGTCAGTTATCTTTCAGGAGCCATGCAGTGGATGGTCCAGCCCCACAGAGCCAATGCCAGGCCACACAGTGCAGACAGAAAGCTCCCTTGCTCTTCCATCTCCACAGTGGAGATGGAACCATCTCCTTTCCCACAGGATGTTATCAAAACATCTCAAGACGCTTAGCATGGTGGCTCATGCCTGTAATCCCAGCACTTCGGGAAGCTGAGGCAGGCAGATTATTTGAGCTCAGGAGTTCAAGACCAGCCTGGCCAACATGGCAAAACTCCGTCTCTACAAAACAATACGTAAATTAGCCCAGGCATGGTGGTGTGTGCCTGTAGTCTCAGCTACTCAGGAGGCTGAGGTGGGAGGATCACTTGAGCCCTGGAGGTCGAGGATGCAGTGAGCCGTGATTGCACCACTGCACTCCAGCCTGGGTGACAGAGTGAGATCCTGTGTCAAAAAATATATATATATGGAAAAACTCAATAAAAATATTACATAGAAATGAACACAGCTGGTCACTCTAGTCTGAAATAGCAAAAATACTAACTTCCCCTTGACTGATTCCAGTTTTTGGAATGTTTAGAATTCCATAAAAAAAAAAAAAAGACTCTTTTGTAAGAAAACACACAATAAGAAATAATGTGCTCTGAGGCACTGAACTAATGTTCGCCCAAATCTAGTTTTTTGTAGCAAAGACAAGGCCTGGGGCCAGAGGTTGGAAACAGACTCACAGTATTTTGCAGCCGTTATGGAGAGACCAGAGGCGGTTGGGTTCCTCCAGAGTGGGGGTGTGTGCACATCTCAGCATCACGGCTGGCGGGGGCTGCTGTGAGTCAGTCTTGGAACCGGCCGTCCGCTGGTGACCACGTGGGGAACCTGGTGAACACCTCTAATGGAGGTAGGGCCAGTGGGAGCAGAAGCCAGTGGAGTTGTCGAGCCAGCATTATCCTTCCTGCTCGGCTTGCGTCCGGGGTTAATGTGGAGGTCAGCTTCAATGAGGCCTGGCACTGGGCCAGCGTGAGGCTTGGTTAGTCTCGGGGACCCATGTGGTATCCGGATCCCCCGGCACTAGACAGCTTGTCCAGGGCCACTGTCCTGCCAAAAGATGCCTGGGCTGGACAGTGGAGGGGTTGGTGCCAAGGAAGGAAGAGGCCGGCAGGGATGCCTCCTGCACACACAAGCTGACAACGCGGGGTTTATTCAGTTCTCAGTTCTCAGCTCTCAGCCGTGTCCTTTATCTCTGAGGAGTCTCAGTTTATTCTGTCTCCTTCTGTTTTGCATCTTTGGAATTAGGAGAGTGTCCCAAAGTTCTGTGGGCATTTCTCTCCACCTGTCACCCTGGGTCCTCGAGGCAGAGCTGCCTCCACTGTGCGCAAGGTCCGAGATGCAGGAGGCCTGTGCTGGGGGACGGGAGGAGACGGGCATCGAGGAAGGAGCGCCATGGCCTGGCCGCCAGCGCTGGGGTTGCTCTGCCGTCCCTGACTCTGCGGGAAGGACGGTTGGGGCCCCCCTCCACCCCGAGTCCAGGATCACCCCCTCCTTCCTGGCCCAGTGAGCCTGTCGCTCTGGCTGTGTTGAGTCTGCTGTGCGGCCAGGGTGAAAACCAGTCCCTAAGTCCCAGGTGGAAGCCAGGTGGCCACCCTCGGGGCAGCTGGAGGGGTGGGAGGCTTGTGGAGCAGAAACCCGTGGGTGATTCCTTCTGAATTTCCCGCAGACCTGAACCGGACCTTCCCCGACAATGTGAAGTTTCGGAAGACCACGGAGCCCTGCCTGCAGAAGACCCTGTACAATGTGCTGCTGGCATACGGGCACCATAACCAGGGAGTGGGCTACTGCCAGGTGAGCCTCGGGACCCTCTGACGCAAGCATGAGGTGGCTGTGAGGACAGGTCTGCCCACAGCTGCGGGCTCGGCAGTGACGGCTTCATGTCTCTGTCAACAATGTTCATGAATTCCACATCCTGACGCCCCATCGAGGCTCGGACACCGTTTGCCAGCAGGGAGGACAGGGAGCAGCAGCTGACAACCTTGTTTCGGCCTCAGGCAGCGGGGGGAGAATCAGTGAGCACGGGACACAGAGGGCGAGTGCTGTGGGGTGCGTGTGTGCTGTGGGAAATCTGTGCTGTGGGGCGTGTGCTATGGAGCATGTGTTGGGCACATGTGTGCTGTGTTGTGGGATGCGTGTGCTGTGGGGTGTGTACTGTGGGGCATGTGTGTGCTGTGGGAAATGTGTACTGTGGGGCGCATGTGCTGTGGGGCACGTGTGCTGTGGGATATATGTGCTGTGGGGTGCGTGTGCTGTGGGGTGCGTGTGCTGTGGGATATATGTGCTGTG